TGTTTACAATATAATACTAAACAAACACAGTGAAATATATTTTTTTCGTTAGGTTCAGAATGATTTTGGGGAAATTATTGCATACTCAAATTTTCACTTGTCCTATATGGCAAGATGAACGTTGCTATTTAAGCCAAGATCGCAAGTTCTGCCTATTCGGCACGACATATATATATATATATATATTATATATATATATATATATATATATATATTATATATATTATATATATATTATATATATATATATATATATATATATATATATATATATATATAATATATATATTATTATATATTTATATATATATATATATATATATATATATATATATATATATAATATATATATGTATTATATATATATATATATATATATATATATATATATATATATATATATATATATATATATATATATATTATGCAAAACAACCACTGTGAAAGAGTAGTGAAATTCCAAGCGCTTTCGTGACTACTCACATAGTTCCTTTGACAATGTGAGTAGTCACGAAAGCGCTTGGAATTTCACTATTTCACAGTGGTTGTTTTGCATATTTTAAAATCACCTGTTTACTGTGATCTTATTGCATATATATATATATATATATATATATATATATATATATATATATATATAATATATATATATATATATATATATATATTGTGTGTGTGTTTTGTGTGTGTGTGTGTGTGTGTGTGTGGCGAAATGACAGTAGTTTCTTGGACTGTGTATTGGTAGATAAAAGACTGTTGAGTAGACTTCAGGATGTACATGTTTATAGAGGGACCACAGATATATCAGATCACTTTTTAGTTGTAGCTACAGTGAGAGTAAAAGGTAGATGGGATACAAGGAAAATGGAAACAGCAAGTAAGAGAGAAGTGAAGATTTATAAACTAAAGGAAGAGGCTGTTAGGGTAAGATATAAACAACTGTTGGAGGACAGAAGGTTTAGAGCAGGTCGTTCCTTTCTGTCCCAGCTACTGGACCACTATGACAAGGATAAACAAAATGCAGATGTAGTATTCACAGACTTTGCAAAAACCTTCGACAAGTGTGACCACGGTGTAATAGCGCACAAAATGCGCGATAAAGGAATAACAGGAAAAGTTGGTAGATGGATCTATAACTTCCTGACAAATAGAACACAGAGTGAAAGTAAACAGAGGAAAGTCCGAGGCAGCTACAACGAGCTCTATTCCACAAGGCACAGTACTCGCTCCCATCCTATACATCCTCATATCTGACATAGATGTAAGCCATAGCTCCGTGTCTTCTTTGCGGATGTTACCCGAATTGCCATGACAGTGTCCTCCATCGAAGACACCACAAGACTCCAAGCGGGCATCAACCAAATCCTCAAATGGGCCACTCAACAATATGAAGTTCAATGAAGAGAAATTTCAACTACTCAGATATGGAAAACTTTTAGAAATTAAAACTGTATCAGGGTATACAACAAATTCTAACCCTACAATGGAGCAAAAAAGTAATGTGAAGGCCCTGGGAGTGATAATGTCAGAGGATCTCGCCTTCAAAGACCACAACAATGTACCTACCTCATCCGCTAGGAAAATGATAGGGTGGATAATGAGAACCTTCAAAACCAGGGATGCCAAGCCTATGATGATTCTCTTCAAATTGCTTGTTCTCTTTAGGCTGGAATATTGCTGTACACTAACTGCCCTCTTCAAGGCAGGCAAAATTGCTGACCTGGAGAGTGTACAAAGAACTTTCACGGCGCACACAAGTACAATAAGGCACCTAAACTACTGGGAACGGCTGAAGTCCCTTGATTTGTATTCTCTGGAACGCAAGCGAGAGAGATACATGATAATATACACTTGGAAAATCCTAGAGGAATTATTACCAAACTTGCACACGAAAATCACTCCCTGTGAAAGCAAAAGACTAGGCAGGAGATGCATCATTCCCCCAATGAAAAGCAGGGGCGCTACGAGTACACAGAGAGAACACATTAAGTGTCAGGGGCCCAAGACTGTTCAACTGCCTCCCAGCATACATAAGGGAGATTACCAGTAGACCCCTGGCTGTCTTCAAGAAGGCGCTGGACAGGCACCTAAAGTCAGTACCTGACCAACCGGGCTGTGGTTCGTACGTCATTTTGCGTGCGACCAGCAGTAATAACCTGGTTGATCAGACCCTGATCCACCACGAGGCCTGGTGTCAGACAGAGCCGCGGGGGCGTTGAGCCCTGAAACCCTCTCCAGGTATACTCCAAGTAGGTATACCTCACAGTACTTGTAGCCCAGGGACCTACAAAATGTTAGTCCGGCTCTGCCTGTGGATTCAGTAAGGGGTTATACCATGAAGACATTTTTAATTGTCCCCAATGTTTTACTACAGGTATGCAAGGTAATTTTCCTTGCGGACCTGTAGGATTTACCTGCCTCCTTAGGTATTAATAAGACGAACGAACGAGTGCAGGTAAGATCCCAGTGGGATGAGCGGGGAAGACGAGACAGACGAAGAATAGCGCTGGAGAGGAGTGTTCTTAGTTGTAAAAACAGAGCCAGGGCTTAACCCGGCAGCAAAGGCGAACGTGGGTCAGAGAACAAACAGCGCAAGGTACGTGACAGAGAATCCAAAGGGTATTTGCAAATAGGGTTGGGAGCAGGATCATACAAGGAGTAGAAAAGGTTGTTAGGTAAGACATATGCAACAGTTAGGTATCTTTATTATGAAACGTTTCGCCTACACAGTAGGCTTCTTCAGTCAAGTACAGAAAAGTTGATAGAAGCAGAAGATACTTGAAGACGATGTAATCAGTCCATCACCCTTAAAGTTTTGAGGTGGTCAGTCCCTCAGTCTGGAGAAGAGCATTGTTCCATAGTATGAAACATAGTATGATACTATGGAACAATGCTCTTCTCCAGACTGAGGGACTGACCACCTCAAAACTTTAAGGGTGATGGACTGATTACATCGTCTTCAAGTATCTTCTGCTTCTATCAACTTTTCTGTACTTGACTGAAGAAGCCTACTGTGTAGGCGAAACGTTTCATAATAAAGATACCTAACTGTTGCATATGTGTCTTACCTAACAACCTGTCGGTATTTTATACCATTTTAATGTTCAGAAAAGGTTGTGTTGGTGTGTGGGTCTGCGAATGTCTTCAAGGAGAGAGGTCCAATTAATAAGACAGAAAAATGTAAGAACTGGAATCCTATCAGTGTGACACGTTTAACAGATTTCATTTTCACACTCTTATGACATGACGGTAGCTCCTCCTGGATGAGTACTGACTTACGCCAACATACCACCGAAAAATTGAAATGTGATGTTCGAGCAAGTTTTGGAAGACAGATATAAAATGTGTTATGGTGAATGTTTCCTCCTTGGGGAGGGGGGGAGGTTACCCTGTCTTGGTTCATTAATGATTTGCCGGTACTTCCGGCCCGGGTCTTCTCCAGATGGCGACCCGGCGGCCCTGTCTTGGTGGGAAACCACTAGTAGTAGTAAAAAAAAAAAGTACACTTCTGATATTTCATTTGTAGATAAGTGGAAAAAACGAAGAGTCGCAGTTTTATCGAAGCTGGTAGTAATAAGTTATCACAGGTTATATGCACTGATGGATCTAAACAGGAGTCTTCTGGCAGGGCTGCATCTGCTCTTGTTGCCACCTCCCTTGTTAATAACGATAATAAATTTGTTGAACTAGGCAAAAGAATTAACAACTGGGCATCTAACAGCAAACTGAATTGTTTGCAATCCTAATGACGCTAAAGCCAACTTATGACACTGAGCTCCAACAACATGCTTATTGGAGAAGCCAGGTATAGATACTCAAAAATCAGGGACAAAGGAATTAATGTACAATTGCTATGGATCCCATCACACATTGGATTACTCCTTCATGATAAAGTTGATATGTTAGCCAAGAAGAGTATCCTGAAGGAGAATGTAGAATATAACTTTGGTATATCTGTGTCTAGCATTAGGAATAATATTAGGAGAGAAGTAAATAATGAAAATGATTGCTATAGGAATGCAGTTAGAAGTCTGAGTAGATCTATAACCCACTATGATAACATGAACGTAGATAAGTATGTTTATGGAGCAACTTGCAATGTGAACACTGACTGATGTTGTAGTGGCCAGGCTTAGGCTTGGTTACAAGTACTGACTGATGTTGTAGTGGCCAGGCTTAGGCTTGGTTACAAGTACTTCTGGCAGTTTGGGAGACACACAGATGATGATCAAACTAAATGCAAATTATGTGGTCAGGCATATGGTTACTCTCTTGAACACTGTGCTTAATTATCCACTTACTGAGGAATACAGAAATAGTATAATGGCATGTTAAGATATTAATGAAAATAAAATATCAGATATACTAAGCAAATTTCCTAAAGTTGCTTGTAACAGATAAGTGAACTGTAGATTTTTTTTTTTATCACACCGGCCGATTCCCACCAAGGCAGGGTGGCCCGAAAAAGAAAAACTTTCACCATCATTCACTCCATCACTGTCTTGCCAGAAGGGTGCTTTACACTACAGTTTTTAAACTGCAACATTAACATCCCTCCTTCAGATATGTAGATATGTAAATATAAATCCAAATGTACACCTGTTAACCCTTTTGGGGCCTAGTTCCTAGGCCTTTTGTGTATTCATATGCTCTTGCGCTACCGTCCACAGGATGGATATGGGGTGCACAATAAACTAGCCACTTCGACGGCAAAATCTAAATATCTATCGAATACTTCGGATAGCTTAAAAAGTTTAAAGAAATATATGCAGTCTCATGCTTCTTTCTTGTGTTCTTAAGGGTGGCTAGTCAAATAAGAGTTGACTGGCTTAATTAAGGTGAGTTCGATCAGCAAAGTATGAACCAAGATGCCTATTGCAAATGGTCTTTTCTCGTGTTTTTTGTGTGATTTGCGTTGCCTGTCATGGACTAGTAAGCCTACTTGCAGTGCTGCTCTGCTCTTGTGTCAAGACTTGTGGTCACATGTATGGTTTTTACAGGATGCGTGTGACTGGCCTGGTGAGCGGGTACTGGGGCAGCAGTGGGAGTGTGGAGGACGAGGAAGTGGATGTAGAGGCCCAGTTCTCAGCCCACACCCCTGGTACTACCCACCACGCAGCACAACGTCGCCCAGGTCAGTACTCGCTATTCCTTATGGGTTAAAATCTTCTCCATGAATTTAATAAGAATAGTACTTGCTGTATTATCTACCAGAAATGTACTGTTATTGTAGTCTGTTTTACAGCATGAGTGACGAAAAATCTTCAAATCTTTCCTTCTTTCCATCCACTTGCTGGAGGCCCATACACTATCCTCCTGCTGGCTAAATATTGTTCTTTCTTGTTTTTTTCCTGCTGGAATTGTATATGGTTTTTATCTTCAAAGAATAAAGTCCACGTTGCCATTAATGGCGCAATTCACAACAAATCCTCAGTACCACACAGTCAGGACCTGTGACCTCTTGTGACCACTGAATTGCTTTGGGGATTAGTGTGGAGGGTTAAGAAGCCATGGCTTCCTTCTGCAGTGTTTTAAAATCTGAGGTTAGAGTGTTGAAGGAGGAGGTCCTACTTCTCCAGGGAAAATTAGGAGGCTGAAGGTTCACCTCGATGGGTTTGGGAGTGTGAGGTGGCTGGAGTGGTTGGGGGGAATGAGGCTTCCAGCAGTGAGGTGCAGTCCAGCACCTGCTACAAGCGGCGAGTGGTTCCCAGTAATGGGAGGAGCATCAAAATAAGGAAAGTTAAGAGAGAAGATGTGAAGGTAGGAAATCGCTTTTCTGTTCTTCAGGATGAATATACTTCAGTGGCCAGTAAAGGTACTACTACCCCTGCTAATAGAGGTAAGCAAATTCTTGTGGTTGGTGACTCACAGGTAAGATATATGGACCGTCCTTTCTGTAACAGGAATAAGGTGAGAGAAAGTGTGTGCTTCCCTGGAGCTGGTGTTGGTGACATAGTCAACAGGTTGGATAATATGATGTCACGTAGTGGGAACAAGCCCATTATCTGTCAGTGCTGGTAGAAATGATATCGGAAAGGTTAGGAGAGAAGACCTGCTAGATAAGTACAGGTCAACTATAGATTTAATTAGGTCTAAGGGAGGGGTCCCAATCATATGTAGCATCTTGCCTAGAAGGGGAGTGGGCAATGAATGGTTGTCTAGGGCAATTGTTGTAAATTGGTGGCTAGACAGATACTGCAAGGAACTTACGATCCCATTCATTGACAACTGGGACAACTTTTATGGCAAACATGATATGTATGCAATGGGTGGGGTCCATCTCTTTGGGGCAGGGGTGGTAGCACTTGCCAACTTGATCGAGAGGGTCATTGTTGACATGTCTAGGCTTTTAAATTGGTAGAAGATGGAGGTATGGGTGTGTGTGGAAAACAGTCAAGTTGCAACACTAGGGTTGAAAACAATAAATATTTAAGACATTCATCATAAAGTTACAAATAAAGACAATGGATCAGGTCAGCAAACAAAGGGAGACAGCAGAGGACAGCAAGGGACTAGCTCCCTGAAGGTTTACTATACTAATAGCAGGAGTTTAAGAAATAAGATAGATGAGCTAAGATTAATTGCAAGTGCAGGAAGCATAGATATTATTGCTATAAGAGACTTGACTCAATCTGAAAGAAAGAGAAATGGCTTCTGAATGTCACATACAAGGCTATAAATTATTCCACTGATAGGGTCAACAGGAAGGGTGGTGGAGGAGCGATGTATGTCAGAGACAATTTAAATTCTTGTGTTAGGCAGGATATAAAACTAGAAGCATCGGCCACTGAATCTGTTTCGTTACAGCTTCTCAAGGGCCATGAAAACTAATTTTAGGTGTGGTTTACAGGCCCCCAAACCTTGATAGGGAAGGTAGTAAACTTCTACGGGACGAAATTCGTAAGGTATCTACATAAAAAATTGTTGTGCTAATGGGAGATTTTAACTTTAGACAAATTGACTGGAGCAATTTGACAGGAAATTTAGAGTCGAGTGACTTTCTTGATATGATTCAGGATTGTTTTTAAAGCAGCCATGACAGAACCAGCTAGAGGAAATAAACTGCTTGACTTGGTTCTTGCCAGCAGGGAATTGCTAATTAATAATCTTGAGGTTAATGTTGAGCTTGGGGAAAGTGATCACATATCACTGTTTTAATATATCATTGAATTACCCTAATCATGGCAATAAAGTCTCTGTCCCTGACTTACGCATGGCTGATTTTATAGGACTGAGAAATTACTTGGGTGGGCTGAACTGGAATGACCTAACTATGGGTCAGGTAGGTGGTGATGGTTACTGATATGACGTTTTCCAGAGCATAGTTCTAGCTGCTCAGACAATTTGTGTTCCGAATAGGGAAATCAGATCAAACAAAAATGATCCTAAGTGGATAAACAATAGATTACAACATCTCATTGGTCAAAAGAGAGGTATATATAGGCGAATCAAAACAGGAGAGGGGGCAATTAAGAAATCAATATATTCATTTAAAGAGAGAAATAAAAAAGGGAATAAGAAAAGCAAAACAGAGATTATGAGGTTAATTCAAAATTCTAAATATTAGACAGGAAAATAACCATGCCACTTATAAACTAAATAATGTAGATCTTAATATTACTGTTTGCAAAAAGGATTTGGGAGTTCTGGTTAGCAGTAATCTAAAACCAAGATAACAGTGCATAAGTGTTCGCAATAAAGCGAACAGAATCCTTGGCTTCACATCAAGAAGCATAAATAATAGGAGTCCTCAGGTTGTTCAACTCTATATATCCTTGGTTAGGCCTCATTTAGATTATGCTGCACAGTTTTGGTCACCGTTTTACAGAATGGATATAGATGCTCTGGAAAACGTACAAAGGAGGATGACAAAGTTGATCCCATATATCAGAAATCTTTCCTATGAGGACAGACTGAGGGTTCTGAATCTGCACTCTTTATAAAAGGCATAGAATTAGGGAGGGATATGATTGAGGTGTATAAATGGAAAACAGGAATAAATAAAGGGGATATAAATAGCGTGCTAAAAATATCTAGCCAAGACAGGACTCGCAGCAATGGTTTTAAGTTGGAAAAATTCCAATTCAGGAAGGATATAGGAAAGCACTGGTTTGGTAATAGAGTTGTGGATGAGTGGAACAAACTCCCGAGTACCGTCATAGAAGCTAAAACGTTGTGTACTTTTAAAAATATGCTGGATAAATACATGAGTGGGTGTGGGTGGGTGTGAGCTGGACCTGGCTAGCTTGTGCTACTAGGTCAGATGCCGTGCTTCTTCCTTAAGTGAATGTGACCTAACCTGACAAGGGTGGGGCATTGGCTTGGGCCGGTGGGAGACTTAGACCTGCCTTGCATGTTATGTTCTTATTTGAAAGGATTGTAGGTTTTTATTAGGATACATATCAATTGTCAGGAGCTTTATCATTGGCTTCAAAACACCTCTGGTGAGGAAAACTTGCCATAATAAGTTGAGTTTCAACTTTTGGAAACTTTTTCCAACTTTTTTTTTTTATATTATTTAACACCGGCAGTCTCCTACTGAGGTAGGGTGACCCGAAAAAGAGAAAACACTTTCACCATAACTCATTCACTCTTGCCAAAAGGGTGCTGACGTAACAGATCAGACAACTGAGTCGTAACATTCCTGCTTCTCTTTCAGAGTGTAGGCAATGTTCGTCTCTCCTCCAAGATTCGTCTGGCTAACCGGTTTCCATGAAACTTCATAAATGTTACTTTGCTCATACTCCAACAGTACATCAAATGTTATGACTTGAAGTACTACTTCCACTCCTAGCTCGCACAAGCCTGTTGGGTGCCCAGATCCCTAGGTATCACTCGTATCTCATAACCCCAGTCCACTGACCCTGAATGAATGTAAGAGGCTTTCATTGGGGTGCCTTGGTGTTGAAGGACTTTTGATCTAAGGTATTGGAGCTACCTTTACCTTTCTCGGATCAAATCTGTAAACCTCTTAGTTCCCAGATGATGTATGACCTACAAGTTTAGGTTTTCCTCTGAATACAATAATTTTCAAGAGGAAAAGCAGGTGCAGCTCAACTCCCTTAAGAGTCCTAAAAACTGTAATTAAACCCTCCTAAGAGGTCCAGCAGCTGGAGGTCAGCAACATCCAGAAGTTCAAGAGCTGTAATTCAGTGAAAATATTTATGCAGTAACACGCTTGGAAAAATAAAGACAGTGCCCAGACACCGGCACTGTTGTAATATGTACGTAGGTGCACTGCACGTTTCATGGACAGTCATACCTTGAAACGTTAAATATCGTATAAAACTCTTGTGAAGTTAAAATTCATAAATGCATTGATAAAACAAGAAAATGATAAGATGTATGTTAATGTAAAAAAAAAGAAAATAGTACTAGCCACAGAATTTGTAAGATCGGCAAATGGTCATTGTGTTTGTATACAAGCATCCGGATGCATCTTCCCAACAATTCCAGGAACAGCTTTTGAAAATTGATCACTGTCTGGAAAATCTTCCAGCTCCTGCCCCCCAACATCTTGCTTCAGGGGGATTTCAACCTAAGGCACCTAAATTGGAGGAATGTAGCAAATAATGCTGTAGCAGAGAAAACCCCAGGAGGCAGCTCAGATGAAAACTCTCACACACACCAAATTCACCTTAAACCAGCAGATAATAGAGCCAACAAGATTGGAGGATATACTGGACCTCATCTTCACTAACAATAATGATCTGATTCGAAATATTAGCATATCAAAAAGTATATACTCAGATCACAACATAATAGAGGTTCAGACATGTATGCGCAGGGGCCCCAGACCAACAAAATGTGATCAGTCATGAGGGAGCCTTCACCAAATTCAACTTCAGTAACAAAAACATAAGGTGGGACCAAGTCAATCAGGTCCTAAATTATATAAACTGGGAAGATAGCCTAAGTAACACAGATTCAAACCTATGTCTAGAACAAATTAACTCTGTGGTACTCGAGGTATGCTCAAGGCATATTCCTTTAAGGAATAGGAGGATAAGATGTAAATTAGAAAGAGAAAGGTGCTCCCTATACAGGCAAAGGCAGTGAATAACAGAGCAGCTAAAAGAGGCCAATATATCTGTAATATGTTGGGAGGCACTGGTCAGAGAAATAGCAAACATC